TCCGAGGCGGCATCACTACGGAAGTAGATTGCCCAACCTCCCTTCCGAGGAGCGGCTGGTGGGTTTGAACCACCAGCAGGAGAGAAAAATGGAGAGCTGTTTGGATGGAAAAGAGATGTGGATCAGCTTAGCCTTTGAAGATTTTATGGTTGGCTTCATGTTAACCACAACTTCATTTTTAACCAGAAGGGCAGAAAATGAGCCTTCAGTGTCATGTTCCCAGGGGGCTTTGGACCGCTATTCAAAATCCCAAGGCCTTCAGGCCAAACTGTCAAACACTGCGCTTGTAGGTAAACTTTTGGTGGGCCTGCCTTTAAAAGCCAACAAGGCCAGGGATAGTAGCAAACCAAAAAAACCAAACCCACTGCCATCTGGTCGATTCTGACTCATAGTGACCCAATAGAAGAGAATAGAACTGCCCACAGTGTTTCTGAGACTGTAACCCTTTGCGGTAGCAGACTGCCACATCTTTCTCCTAGGGAGCTGCTGGTGGATTTGAACCACCAAACCTTTCCTGAACAGCTGAGTGCTTAACCGCTGGACCACCTAGGTTCTTTCAGGACCAAGGTAGCAGCAACCAAAGGACAAACTCTTCTGGGACCTATGATTAGAGATTCAAACTAATTTTGGGCTTTACCTGGCTTCATTCAAGAGTAAAATTCCTGGAGTAGGACTGGAGGTCATCATGGGTCACATGTCCCTGCAGAGGCAGGAGGGCTCCTTGGTTGAGGGACTCACCACAACTGGGTAGGAGGGGGTGAGGGAGTTCTCCAAGCTGTGCTTGTGTATTGATACTTGACTGGGATTAGAACCTGAGCAGGAGATTCTTTTAAATAAGCAGATGCCCACCCCTTTGGGGAACATGGGTCTTTCTTTATACTTGCCTCTGTGAAGCTTTCTCCCATTTGTTTTCTAACTGGAGCTACAGTAAATGACCCTGGAACCTCTTATATTTTCAAATATTTGGAGAAAGTCTTCATGGTTCCATTAAGTCTTTCAAGAGAAAAGTAACCCAATGACCATTTGTTGTGTGGTGAAGCACTCTAGGGTTATCTGCCCTGGCCCCTTTATTGGGCTGCCCCCTTTCCTCAGCCACATGGTAATGTCTGTGACTGCAGAAACTGAGTGCTGAGAGGCCCCATATTAGAGTTACTTACAAGTTGTATGAAGAAGAAATAAAACTCTCTCATGATGACACACCCAGATTTAACTATTATTAACTTTTGCACCTGACCTAAGCCATGGTATTTTCAATAGTTTCATATTCATGTGAGAGCTGGACAGTGAATAAAGAAGACTGCAGAAGAATTGATACTTCTGAATTGTGGTGCTGGCAAAGAATGTGGAAGGTACCCTGGGCTACTAGAAGAACCAACAAGTCTCTGTTGAGGAAGTACAACCAGATGTTCTTTAGAAGTGAGAATGGCCAGAATGTCTCTCATGCTTGGGTCATGTTGTCAGAGGGCGCCAGCCCCTGGAGAAGGGTATCACGCTGGGTAGAGGATCAATGAAAAAGGGGAAGACCCTCAATGAGACGGATGGACACAGTGGCTGCAACCATGGGCTCAAGCATCGCAAAGATTGTGAAGATGGCCCAGGACTGGGCAGTGTTTCGTTCTGTTGGACCCAGAGTTGCTATGAGTCAGAACGGACTCCATGGCACCTAACAACAACAACATTTGGTCAATTTTCCTCTGGTCTTTTTGTACACATATTTGCATACACAGAAACCAAATTATATATTCTCTATGTATAATTTTGTGTGTGCTGTACATTTTTTTATTAAGGCATAATTCACATTTAATAAAATGTAGGTCTTACGGGCTTAGTTAAATGAGTTTTGCCAATTGCATATAGCTTTGTATTTGCCAACCAAAACAGGATAGGATGTTTCCATCACCCCAGAAAGTTCCTTTATTCCCTTACCTTATACTCATCCCCCCAGAGGCAACCATCTTTCTGATTTTTCTCCCCGCCATAGATGCCTGTTGTAGAACTACATATAAATAGAATTACACAGTTTTTACAGCCTGGTGATACACTTCCATAGAGGGTACAGACAAGGAAACCCTGTGGGGCAGTTCTACTCTGTAACACATGAAGTCACCATGAGTTGGAACTGACTCTACGGCAACGTGTTTATGTGTTTTTGTGGTTTATTAATTTTATTGCAGAGTGGTAGTTCATCCCATGAGTATAATACAATTTGTCTATCTATTCTCCTGTAATTGGATACCTGGGTTCTTTCCAGTTTTTGGCTATTGGGATAAAACAGCTGTGAACATTCTTGTACAAGTCTTTTTGTGAAAATACTGTTTTCATTTCTCTTGGAGGAAGATTCCTAGGAGTGGAATTGCTGGGTTACAGGGTAGTTTTATAAGAAACTGCCCCACCTTTTCCAAAATGATAGTACCACTTCATTGTTCCAACTCCTTGCCAATATTTGATGTTACCAACCTTTTCAATTTTAGCCATTCTGTGGATGTGGGGTGGTATCTCATTGTGATTTTAATTTGCATATTCTTGGGGGCTAGTGAGCACATTTTCATATGCTTATTGGCCATTCATTTATCTTCTGTGAAGTGCTAGCCATCTCTTTACTGTTAATTTGTAGGGGTTCTTTAGATTATCTTCTGGATATTTTCTCCTGTCATTAAAATTTCTCCAAAACTATAATTAAAGTCAGTTCAAAATTTAGCACTATTTTAAGTAATGCTGTGATACCTTTATATAAAAATTTTTGTCCTTATCTCTGATTGTTTTCTTAGGAGTAATTCTTAGAAGTGTAATTATAGGGTTTAAAGGTGTGACCTCATGATTCATTTTGCCAAATTGCTTTCCAGAAATGTGGTACAAATTTATACTTTGTCCAGCAGTATTTGAGGGTACCCATTCACCTACCTTCACCAACACTAAGTAGTATCATTTCTAAGTGTCTCTGGTCATTTGAGAGGTGAAAAAAAAAATATGTGTATGTATACACATTATATATGTGTGCGTGTGCATACATTTTATTATAAGAAAGATGGAGCAGTTGAAAAATGAATTTATCGGCCATTTGTATTTCCTCTTTTGTGAATGGACTTTTTCTGTTTTTGTATTGAAATTTCATTTTCTGTCTCTAAAGAGCTATCACATGACATAAACAGAATATATGCACACCTATGTTCATTGCAGCACTATTCATTACAGCAAAAACATGGAAAGAACCTAAGTGCCTGTCAACAGATGAATGGATAAAATGTGATACATACATATGCACAATGGAATACTATGCAACCATAAATAATAATAATGAATTCTCAAAATATGATGCAGATAAATCTGGAGGACATTATGTGGAGTGAAATAGGTCAATCACAAAAGGGTAAATGCTGTATGATCTCACTTTTATAAAAAGACAAGAATAGATAGACATACAGAAACCACTATTCATTGGTGGTTACCAGGAATGGGAGGGGGAGGGAAGAGGAATCACTGTGTAGGAAGTAAAAAAAAAACAAAAATCAAACTCACTGCAGTCAAGTTGGATCCGACTCATAGTGACCCCTCCTTGGGTTTCTGAGGCGATATCACTATGGAAGTAGATTGCCCGATCTTCCTTTCGAGTCTAGGTGGTAGATGCTTGTTATTTTTGGTGATGGGAAATGTCACACTGAATACAGGTAAAAGCTGCACAGTTTGACTGAGATAAATGATGTCCCAAGAAGAATACAAGAATAAGGGATGTTTTTGGTAAATGGTACAATATATACAATTTTTCAAGAACAACCAAAAAATATTGTGTGGTTACATGGGTAGGTGTGTATGCATGTATGCGTATAGGTAGGTATATGTGTGTATATACATGTGCAT